CTTCTGTGTATGTATTACAAAGAAAAGTGTTCGTTCTTTGTTATTAGAATCATAAAGGTATCTATCATCTGATTGAGAATTAAAGATTTTAATTTAGGAAGTGGAGAGTCTGAAATGGTTTGCGAATACTTTTTTGGAGACAAGCCATAAAAAAGAATTGTGTCGCTGCGCGTACACACGTATGGTCTTACATTCTTTTGTCATAGGATCAATTGAATATTAAGTATTATTTTTTAATTATATTCTATTTTTATCTAACACATTTCTTAGTTAAAAAGTTTACAATACATTTAAACAGTTTTTTTTTAATTTGACTCCACAAGACTTTCTTAATTGTTTTTAACCATTTAATCAGTATTCCGAGTGCTAACGTGTCTCCGAGTACGTTGTTGGCGATATTCAAAATTCGTAAATAGAATTCATGATTCCTTTTTTTTAAATTAACAGTCAGCAAAATTTCGCGCGCCAAGAATACCGTGTTGTTTTAATTTTTTTTCTGTACGCCTCGTGAATTGAGAACTCAAACGATAGTGAAATGAGAGAGTGGTGCCCGTTGAAAGTGAAATTCGTTTTGGTTGTGGCGTAATATCAGACATTTCACTCACGACTTCGTAATAAACTAGTTATCCGTGGCGTTGCGTTGGTTAAAAATTAAATAATTTAATATTTTGTTAAGTGAACTTTATAATTGCTGTGAAGTTGAGTATTAAACAGCGAAGTATTATTCGGTACGTACTTAGTAATTTTAGTTGAATATAGACTGCTTATGCATTAAACATTGATACTCTTATCTTTTACTGTTTTGTCTCATTCTCTCATTAAAAATTATCATTTGAAGGTCGTTGGAATTATTATTTGATAATAATTTATCAACTGCTATAAATCCCGTATTTTAATAGGAATTACCTATACAAAATATTTATGTTAAATTTTTATTATGTAGATTCAATTGTTTTTGTATGTATATGTTTAGATTTGATTCAGGTATTAATTATATATGGTCCTGATGTATTAATAAAACGGGTGAGGTCCGAGTTACATTGACGTTGGGGTAACATGGGACCATCATTTTTAACATCTATAAAATCAATTTTATTGCAATTTTTTTATAATAAAGGCAGTATCAGACCAACAATATTAAACGTTAATCCAAGTATCGATATTGTAGATGTAATAATTGATTTATTTACACTTTAGGCATGTTTAATACAACGTCGGGGTATTAGGGTTTTCCTTCCTAGGGTACACCTGGTTCCCCGGCAACTAGTACCCGAGACAGCGTGCGGTTTTTGGTCGGTTCGAGTCCGACATAACCACCGGTGGGTGGTATCCGAGGGGATTTCAGCACAGGAAAAAAAGGCACGTTTAGTACATAGGCAGACCTACTGACTATGGTATTCTCTACCATTCTCCCTTGGTAACACCAATAATTCACCAACTGACGAAAGTCACAGACTCTAGTTTTGTAGAAATAATAAAAGAAGTTCGAAATGTTTTTTTTTTAATCTGTACTTGAGTATCTCTTCGTGAAGTTTCTTAAACGCGCTATAATATGGAAATAAGTTTATTGGATAAAGGGAGAGTGAGGGAGCTATGACTCTTGGGAGCAGAACGGTGACCATAATCTCAAATGTACAGCGTAGTTTTTTTTTTCTTTTTCTTTATTTACCAAAAGGTGAGGATTTGATCACGAACAGCGTAGTTTAAGATAAAGTAAACACTTAGAAAACATGTACATAGAAAAATCTTAAATCTGTAAGCTTTATAATACTACATTTCTAATAACATATGCAAGATGAAAGACAAATTCTTAAGCTTTCTTTTGGCTTAATACATCAGCTCTTGTTGCTTCTTGCAATGTACAGCTGCTTATATCTTTTTAGTTTTCAAGACATTATATCACATAAATATTATAAACGCAAATATGTATTTGTGAGGATGGAAGTAAGGATGTTTACCCTTCAATGACGCCAAAACGGCTGGATCTAAATGAAACTTGCTACAAACCCAGATATAGGCTATTTTTTTTTAAATTGATGGATTGATTAATATTGGTCTGAAAATATAAATTACGATACTAGATTTTTTTTTACTAAAAAGTTTATAAGTGTATATTTTTTATTTTACAGTTTCAATACAGCATATTGAGCTCAAATTTTGACACGTTATATACAACCCGCTTCAAAGATAGGTTTTTATCTATTTTTCGTATCAGTTTTGTTCCTCATTTCACTTCAATGAAACCACAATATACCACAAAGTAGCATGGCAGTATACAGCCAGTACAAAATCACCAGTTAACAAAACTAAAATTACCAATAATTGACTTTAAAAATAGTATCGCCGACTTCATGCTGGGCCTGTTGGGCTAGTGGTTAGTAAGCCTGACTGCTAAGCCGGAGGTCGTGGGTTCGATTCCCACCCAGGACAAAAAATTGTGTGATGAGCACGATCATTTTGATCTGTGTCTGGGTGGACTTTATCTATGATATGTATGTATTTAGAAATATATAAGTATTTTTATCAGCAGTCTGGTTACCATAGCACAGGCTCAGCCTAGTTTGGAATCAGACGGTGTGTGAGACGTGTGTGAGATGTGTGAAGTTAGTACCATTAAAGCGCCTATACATAATAATGAACTTTAGAGGTTGTATATTTTTTTCAAATTAAATGAGACCAAACGTAAAGTATATGCTCAGAAATCATTTACAATTTTTTAAATCGGTTCATAAATTACAGAGTTTTGTGATTGCACACATAAAAGTACAACCGAAACGAGACCTCATTTTAAAATCGGTTGGAAAAAAATACTATTGGCATTAGAATATGTAATGCAAATAAAATAGATCAAACGCAAAACTTGCTTCATCATCAATCATCAATAGCCTCTAACAGTCCACTGCTGGACATAGTCCTCTCCTTAGAAAGGAGGTTTTAAAACTTGTTTAGGTATCTGTTTTTTTTTTACATAAGAATCTCGTTAAAGAAAGTTTTGCATTGTAAAATACTTATTTAATAATTAACTCTTAATGTAAGGTCCGTGTGGTGACGGATTAAGAATACGGAGTGTCACCACCCCTATTCATCCCGTGGGTGTCGGCAGAGACAACTAAGAGAAAAAAATACGCAGAACAACAGCACTGCAGAGAGAAGGAAAACTTGACACAAACCCTATACCAACCCGTTTGGCCAGCGTGGTATAGTAGGCCAAAACCCCCTTTCTTAAGAGAGGCCTATGTCCAGCAGTGGACTAGTAAAGGCTGGTGATGATAATAAATGTAATAAGTAATGTACCTACACTTGCTCCTTTTTTTGTCTTGACATTAATATGTGCAATATGTTAATTTTGTGTCTAAAATGAGGCGTAAGTATCTTTTACTATTTGATTTTGCAATATTTTCGTTATTTATTGTTAGTTGAATTTGATTGTAAATTTTCATTTTGATATTTTGTCGTATTATTAGTTAATAAATTAGATAAAAAACCAGTTGTTTAGAATATTTTAGTCATTTTGTGCTTCTTTGACGATATCAATTAGGTTGTGTCCAAAATAAAATAGACAGGTGTCCTCTGCGTAAAGTGTAATGCTGCCTGATGTTTTAACATGATTTATATAATTAATATAAATTAAAAGCAACAGGGGGCCGAGTATCAATCCTTGGGGAATTCTGTATGTTAGTTTACAAACTTACATGGTTTTCAATTTTAACTATATGTGTCCGGTTTTCTAATTACGACTTAAGAATTTTATGTGCCGTTCCTGATATTCCCTCATCTCTTAACTTGTTCAAAAGCATATTGTGGCTAATTGTGTGAAATGCTTTTTTTATGTCTGTAAAGACACCTAGGACAAATTGTTGTTTATCTATAGCGTTTTTAATTTTGGTTGTTAGATCTATAGTTGCGGATAAAGTACTTGATTTTAGCCTAAATCCATACTGGTTCTCAAAAAAGAAATTCTTGTCTGTAAGGTAGTTGTAAAGACGGGTGTGAATTATTCTTTCAAAGACTTTGGAGATGACCGGAAGCGCGGAAATTGGTCTATAATTACCTGGATCAGATTTGCTTCCAGACTTGTAAACAGGAGTCACTTTGGCAATTTTAAGGCTATCCGGGAATATTTCCAGTTCAAGGCACTTATTCATACATTCGCTATCTATTATTAAGTTTTAAATGCATTTTAAATCTTTAACCGTATTCCCATCAATACAACAACTTGTATTTATATCTAAGTTATTGATTATTTTACTCATTTCTTTTTTATGCAAGGTTGTAGTATATTTAATGTAGTTGTAATTGCTTGTGACATATTAAACCCATGTGTAGGTTTTAAATACGCCTACCCTTGCAAAGATTCCGTTATAAGTTTTTTGCTAACCTGTTTGTGACCATTTTGTGATACACCTCAAAGAAGATATGATTAATTGTTTGTTAAATTGTAGGTATCAGTTTTTTTAACGACGGCCATGACTTTAGACATTATTTTCCTGTAAGTTTTATGAGTCTTATTTGAAATACGGATCACAAATATGGTGTTATTAATTGTATAATTAATTAAGCTCATTTATCATGCTAAATATTCTGTACATCTAAATTATTTAATGACTATATTTATCAAACCACATTAAAGTTTAATGGACATTTCATTCAACAGCGGAATGACGATATCACCAGTGGCTAAGATAAATTGTAAACATAAGATTAACGATCGAATTATTAATTACTTTATCAATTCGCGGTTTAACTACGAACCTGTAAACCAATGAATCACCTTATTTTTGGATTTAAGACAAAGTACCTACACCTTTGAACTTTCGTTGGCTTTTTCCTCAAAACACGCATGGACTATACCTAGTGTTTTTTTAACGTCTACACGTTCGCAATTTAAATTACTACCTACTCGCAATCGATAGTTTATCATAAATCAGGCGTATTTTTGTTGAAATTAATAGCACATTTTTTGTTTAGTTTTTGACAGCTCTTTATTTTTTTTATTTCAGCTTGCCCGTCTCGGGTACTACAAACTGGCGGCCGCGGTGCAGGCAGATACTGAACAGCGCCCGCGAAACGGATTGCACCACCCTCATCCCAAGGAAATAAGGTAAACATTCTTATAATCACAAGGATATTAACATTTTTAAATTAGATTCTGTTTTTTTTTTAACATTACACGAACTATCAAATGATATTAAAAAAAGGTTTAGGCGCAGAATGTCTAATTTGCAAAATTTCCAGTGCGCAGAATTTCTAATATTTATCCGGAAAACACCAGAATGGAACTGCTTGAGTTGTAATGGTTGAACCAATTCCACTAGCTTATAGAAAATGGCGTTCTGGCGTTATTGATCTCGTAACCTAAATTAGTATTGCGACTTGCGACCAACAACCCCCGTAACGAACTGCTAATATTGGTTCTGCGATCACATTCTGCTAGTCCAATTAGCAGAATGTGATCGCATACTGCTAACACATCGATACTGCTAACTGGACATTCTGTAACCGCTGGACATTTTGCGAATTGGACATCCTGCTCCTGCGAGTTTTAGCTTAAAAGGCTTAAAAAAAAAGCTTAAAACTATTTTTAATTGGACTAAAAATGGTTGCTTTAATTACTTCCCCGTTGAAGCAGCACTCTGAGTGCGATGATAGCACGCCGTTGACGAAAAAAATAATCTATGGTCTTAATTTAAAATTCGTAAATAGAACTTAATTTTTTAGTTGCGAAATCTTTGTATTAACAAATTAAGTAAATTAAGCAAAGATGACAGATACATGGTAGTAAACGATAAAGTGGCAGAACGTCCCCATTGTGCTGTTCTCAGCTATAAATTAGAAATATAATTAAATAAAAGACCTTTACATCTGTCAATGTCAATTACACTAAGAGATTTACGAAGGAAGATAACCGTGTGCTTATTTTTCAAGTTTTTTTTTTATTTTGCTTTTTTGTATTATAATGTTAAATATATGGTATTATAAGTAGGTACTTGTCGGCAAAGTCGGACTGCCTCGTGATCCGTAATACAGGTTTTACCTACAACAGACACCAGTGTTAACAACTTGTGTTGTTACATAATGATGACATAATGATAAAATAAAACAATCTGAACTTGTTGTCGTAGACAAAACATCCAACGTTCAATGACAGTTTAAAAATTAGTCATTCCTAACGAACAAAGATAACATATCTAACCAAGCCTCTTACTAATTACAATGCCACGTTTTGTTCACGTCCCGTATGTATTAGAAAGTTTTAGATTTCAGAAAAGGCAGCAATATAACTTTCTTTTGTTTTAAATTCATGTCTTTGGTGACGTCACTGACTGCTACACAAAGACCCTTTTTCGTTAGAACTGCATTGTCATTGTGACGTGTGTTTTATAAACATACGGTTGATGCACGTCCCGACTACGAATACATGCTATATTTTACGTCCTCTTTGAGAGTATTACACGGATGATAAATTGTTCCGTCTCGATACATAACCTAATCTCCTTTTTTTTGCGACATAAATCGCGATTCTTTTATTTACTTCTATATCTATAATAGGTATGTATTCACGAATATGTTTGTCAGCAGTCTGGTTACTATAGAATAGGCGCTGCCTAGTTTGGGATCAGACGGCCGTGTGTGAGGTTATCATTATCATAAAAGAAAAAAAAATGTTTACTTGTCTATGACACTTTAATTAATGTTTTTTTTTTCAGTAGGAACAAAGTTATACCAATGGACACCGATAGCTTGGTGCTATGGAAGCGACCCATCACAACACTAGAATACTTTTTCAGAGAACTCTTTATATTGATTTCCGCGGGATTACAGAGGTAAATATATGCTTTTTACAGTCTCACACGGGCCTGTTTCTTTAGTGGTTTGCGATCTTGACTACTATGCCACGAGGTCATGGATTCGATTTCCAACCAGGACATAATATTGTGTGATGAGCACGATTATTTCTTCTGTGTCTGGGTGTAATTTATCTGTAACTAGCTTTTGCCGGCGGCTCCACCCGCCTGTACGTTGCTTATCGCCTAAGTAAGTTGTTGTTCTGAGTCTGGGTGTTCTTTGTGTCCGTTTCATGTATGTTTGTAAAGTCGCTCGCGACACGATATATATTACTGGTGCGAGAGTTGTCTTTTTTATTAAAATAAATTGTTGCTTATAAAAATAACTTAAAAATAAAAAAAAATACAAAGTATACAATAATATAACACTGTTAATTTTTAGATTGTTATTTATTACGACTATATTAAATTTGGACTACTTCTAATAGTAAAATATACTATTTCCAAATCGGTATTACTATACTAATTTTAACTCAATCGGCACATTGAGTAACCCCCTCCCCCCCCCCCAAATATCCTGAAATTTAGGCCCTGGAGGCGTCACTATTATCTAGTACCTTTAGATTGTGATTTTACCCAAATGATTTAATTTCAGGTTATTAGCATATAAGCTGTTAGCGCTAACAATAGCTGTAGCGATATTAAGCACAGTGGTGTCTTACTACGTTACTGGACCGCACCAACCCTATGTACAGGTATGTAGATAATTAAAAAAAAAAATAGATTAGAACAGTGTAGATAGCAGTAGAAAGGTTCAAAGGCTTATTAAAAAATAACGTATTATACTTAGGGCATACTGAAAGTTTCTGGATTCTGATAAACAAGACTAGATATAATACTTACGATACATTTATTGTTTTTCTAAGCTGAAAACACTGTACAAAGCAGTTGGACCTTAGGGACCTCTTGAATGGTTTCATGGTACGCATTCACGCCGACTCAGGGCTCATAAAACGCGTGCGTCAAAGTTTGTCTTTAATTTTTGAAAACAAAAAGAACTCGCTGGGTGTAAGGTCCAGGCTGTAAGGCGGATGTGTCATCAGTTGCATATGTGAAGCCTTCAAATATTCTTCTGTTACCTTAGCGGATTAGGAGGATGTGTTATCGTGGTGAAGGAAGACAGAACTTTTTCTGAGACTCTGGGCAAGCAAGTGTTGACGTACCATTTTGCAGTCACTGTCCTTTGATCTTCAAGCGAAACTGTAGTGTAATATCCTGATTTTCCGAAAAAAGAGTTAAACAATTTTTACCAATGCTTCGACTTTTCTTAACTTTCGTCGGCAAATTTTCAAAAGGAAAGATGCACTCTGCCGATTGGCTTTTTCTTTTGGATTCAAAGCAGTAAACCCAGGTTTCGTCACCTGTTACGATATTAAAGACAGCCAATGAATGTCCTTGTGTGTCCTTCAAACTTTTTATCATTTTACGGCACCACTGGACACGTAGTTGTTTCTGGTCCTCCGTTAAGTCATGCGGTATCCATCGAGTGCAAAGCTTCCCAACCTTTAGGTGCACATGTAAAATGTTTTGCACTTGGCTCATTCCAATGTCTAACAAAGCACGAATTTGCTGGCAAGTGATTTTCTTGTCAGTTTCAATAAATTGTCGTACGGTGTCAATATTTGGGTTTTTAACCGCAGTCGCCGGCCGACCTTCACTTACCTCGTCATGGAAATACTACGAATACACAGAGCTGCGACATGGTGCTTCATCACCAAATGCCAATTAGGTCTCTGGCAACTCTCTTGTTGACTTAACCACAACATAAAAAATCATTGAATGAAAATGGTCACGAGTTAAATTCATTTTGATAGCTACAAACAATTTTCGAAAGGACGTCACAATGAAAAAACAAATGACAGTCTCGCAAATTAAAAAAGACATGAGACAACACTTAATTCTGGGTGTTATTTGTGTCCGTTTTATGCATATTTTTGTTAAGTCCAGATATAAAAAAAAATGCGTAAATGTGTATGTTTTACGGTGTAATAAATATTCATGCATTCAAATAAGGCAGAGTGTCTTTCGTATTGGAAGTGAATGTAGTGATTGTTCGGACAGGTAGTGGTGGCGACGCTGGCGTGGTGGGGCTGGTGGGTGGTGCTGGGCGTGTGCAGCTCCGTGGGGCTGGGCACGGGGCTGCACACGTTCCTGCTGTACCTGGGGCCGCACATCGCGCGCGTCACGCTCGCCGCCTACGAGTGCGGCGCGCTCAACTTCCCCGAGCCGCCCTACCCTAACGAGTGAGTCGCGACCTGCTTTTTATTTACCTACATAGTCGTAGTATGTTTTTAAACAAAAACCACTTAAAATGTAACTTCAGGAGTCACAGATTCTATTCCTGCTAGGTGCAAATATTTGTAAGTGTATCCATTATATGTTGGTGTGGACTCTCAAATATATAAAATATATGTGATGATGATGTGGTTTTACTGGCACATCTAGACGCTAAGTAAAAGCTATTTCGGAATTGGTTCAATATGTCTCTTTGCATTAGTTTTTTAAGTAATGGGGGGCAAACGAGCAGCTGGATCACCTGATGGTAAGTAATTATCGACAGCTCCAACTCCAGTGATACAAGTGCGTTGGCGCCTTTTCAGTTCCCCCTTTCTATAATTAGTTTTAATTTCAAATCACCTCATCACATAAATAGTCTTAATTAGTTCTTTTATACCACAAAGTTCTTATATTAATTATATTATTATTAACTTATACTATATTTACCATTACATTATACTCATATTTAACAGCGTTTAGTAATCCACTGCTGGACATAAGCCTCTCATTAGAAAGGAGTTTTTGGCCTACTATACCACGCTAGCCAGATGGCCATAGAGTTTGTTTCAAGTTTACCTTCTCTTTACAGTGCTGTTACAGGCGGCGTAGATTTCATTCAATTTAACAAAAATTGTGATATGGAACTATAAAATGCGAATACATTTTTTTTCATTTCCAGCATAATATGTCCAGCAGAAATCGACCCAAACAACGTAGTTTCAATATGGAATATAATGTCAAAAGTGCGCGTGGAGTCTATGATGTGGGGGATAGGCACGGCCCTGGGAGAGCTACCCCCCTACTTCATGGCACGGGCGGCGAGGCTTTCGGGAGGAGGGGTCGCTGAACTCTCTGCCAAAGATGACTCCAGGACTGGCAGGTACTGCATTCCATATATACGAACTTTGACTATACACAGTGTAAGGGACATCGTAAGGAATACTGAAATGGTGTATTCAGACCATCATTCTGAGTCTAAAATCATTGGAATTTTCTGTAGGTAACCCCGTAGGTATCGCACAAAAGTAATAACTACATGTGTATTCCGTGCAAACAGTCTACGCACACTAACACAAGTTGGCGGCCGGAGGGAAGGCCCTGCGCGCTTCGGCTGTTTGATTAATTACATTGTCGTTTTTGATGATCGATTGATCGTATGCGGTATTTATTAATTTGTTTTCGGTGAAATGTTCTGTTTACTAATTGTGATATCATTTTAAACCAAAAAAAAATAATGCTTAATTGTACGGCAGACAATTCCAATGATTTTCGACTCAGAATCATGGTCTGAATACAGTATTTTAGTATTCGTTACGATGTCCCTTACACCCTGTATATAAATTAAAATTAGAGATATTGATCCATGGTCATCTTCTAATTAAATAATTGTGTTAGAAAAATATAAGTATGTTCATCATCGTTCAGGTTACTTACGTCATAGTACAGCCTCTTCCTAGTTTGGTTTCAAACAGCTCTGTGTGAGATATCTCAGGATTGAATAATATTAATAATTCACCAGAATATTCAGTACTAATTCAGTTTCTTCCACAGTTTTGTCCCACACTATCTATAAAACAACCCAGGAACATAACACCAGATGTAGCATAGCTAATCTTTGCACAGTATTGTCAGTAAATCTTAAAAACCTAGTTCCTATATTTTACGAGCCAAGTTCTATATAAATTAACCTGTATTAACTCTTTATGTAATATATTCCTTCCAGAGCAAAACAAATGGTCCAGAAGCTGGTCCAAAAAGTGGGTTTCGCTGGCATACTGGCCTGCGCCTCAGTCCCCAACCCACTGTTCGACCTGGCCGGCCTCACCTGCGGACACTTCCTGGTGCCCTTCTGGACGTTCTTCGGTGCCACGGTGCTGGGGAAAGCGGTTATCAAGATGCATATACAGAAGATGTTTGTTATCATTGCGTTTAATGAGACTCTTGTTGGGTAAGGGACTGATATTACCATTTTTTAATGTTAATTATTTATTTTAATAAGTTTGACTGTATTAATATGAATGAATAAGAGAGATTTGTTTATTTACGACACATAAATATTTAGAGTTATTAAAGATATGCTATAAAAGTCATGTGTACGTTTCCAAGAAGCCTGACTAAGCTTGTGCAAATTATGACTCTATGAAAATATCTTGTAATCATCAAATGCAAATTATTTAATAATAATAATATTCTACCACATTCTCACAACGCCATCTAGTCCCAAACTAAGCAAAGCTTGTACTATGGGTACTAGACAACTGATATAAATACATATATACTTTTTTTTTGTAAATACATACTTATTATAAATAGAAACATCCAGACCAAATCATACATTAAATGTTCATGCACACAAATGTTTGAATTGAGCGGGAATTGAAAGAAGATAGGAAGTTAGGAGTCAAATGGGATTAGAATTAGTAATTATAAACCACTTACATTAATTTTCATTAAACTCATCCTTGATTAAGTTGATTAGTTGTTGGTTACTTAGTAAAGTGTTCTTAACTTGAATTTTTAGTCAACACACAACATGTCAGTGTAATCGTTATCAATAAAAAGCCAAAAAAAATTATACGTGTTATGTATGTAGTACCCGGATGACCGAGCTTTACTAGTTTTTTTTTTTGGTAAATTTTCTAAAATTGAAACCTAGCTAGATCGATTAATCGCCCCCGAAACCCCCTGCATACTAAATTTTATGAAAATCTTTGCAGCCGTTTCCGAGATTCATATTACATATATGTCGGGTATATATGTCGGGTGTTGCACAATTTTTTGTTTTTATTTTGTATCGCCTACTTTACTTACATATGTTTCTGAACGTAAACTAGCTGTCATCAGAGAAGTTGTCAAAAAAGAAGGTGAGAAGAAAAAATATCGTTAAAAGTGCTCCTAAGATATAATAAAAAATATAAGTTTAAATCCGCTTCGAATCATTTGTAACCATCCCCACATATATATATATATATATATATATAAATACACTGTGTAAGGGACGTCGTAACAAATCTGACATAGTGTATTCAGACCAACATTCTGAGTCGAAAATCATATACCAGAAAAATGAAAAAAAAAATGAATTTTCCGACAGAAAATTTTAATAATTTTCGACTCGGAATCATGGTCTGAATACACTATTTCAGTATTCGGTACGATGTCCCTTACACATTGTATATATGTATATACAAGAATTGCTTGTTTAAAGGTATTAGATAGATAACATTATATTATACAAAATATAGATAGGTACTCTTAATTGCACACCATTATCAGGAAACATGCAATGTAGAATACAAACAAAAAAAAAATAGTGATATAATGGCGGGCCTTATCACAGTCTTATCTCTTCCAGGCAACCTTTCAACGGACTACACTCGTACTATATAGTAATACGTAGCTTGTGATGCGCATTTACAAAGATGTATATTAACTAATATAACATTACATATAGATATACACGAAAATATATTAGTACACTAGAGACTGTCCTCGAATTTGTCGGCCTCCTGCAATTTTTTTTTAAACCTAAAAAAGCTTTTTTATTTTAATTTCCAGCCAAGTCCTCTCATGGGTAGAGAGGATACCGTACATTGGACCAAAACTCGAAGCGCCTCTGCTAGAGTTCCTCAGAAATCAAAAGAGTCGTTTACACAAAAACGACTCTGGAAGTGTTCCAGAGAACCAGGGCTCTGTTCTGTCGAGTCTCCTGGAGAAGTTCGTTCTTGCCATGGTGGTGTACTTCGTGGTGTCTATAGTGAACGCTCTCGCACAGAACTACAGCAAGCGAGTGGGCAAGAAGAAGGGCAAGAAACGGGATTAGGGTCTGCGTTCGCACGCCGGTGGGGCTGGAGCTCGCGGTATGTGCGCTTATATTTTTTATAAATTAATCCTTAGTGTTATTGTAATACATTACTAGGATGCGAAACACTGAAATTGTTACATCATCATCTTCAACAGCCTTTGATAGTCCACTGCTGGACATGGGCCTCTCCTTAGAAAGGAGGTTTTGGCCACCACGCTGATCAGACGGGCTGTTGTCTTACGTAGTTTGCTCCCTCAGTCGGCTCTTACGGAGTGTTACCACACCTATTCATCCCATGGGTGGCCATTGGATGAATAGGGGTGGTGACACTCTGATTGAATTGTGCTGACACTTGCGCTATAAATAGACAATACTGTTGAAAGACTTACATCCTTATAGAGGACATGAAGAAGAGAGGACTAATCTAATAAATACGTTGTACCCGCAGGTGTTCGACGCAGCTCTTCCCGCGCACCGGCCTCGCGGTGACGCCCCCCCTACTGTCCCCCCCTCCACTTACAGCTCTAACGTCCTTCAATGCGACTCAACACCTTCACCACTTGTCGGTATCAAATAAGTAGGTAAAATAATCTCGTCTATTCTGTACCGAGTGTGCTGGACTACACTAAAATACTCCCAATTGTATCTGTATCCACAGTGATTTTTTGGATACGTTATAACGATGGTGTATTGTTTTATTATCTCATAAAGAAGGTCTATTTACGTATGTATAGGTATATAACAATATATTTAATTTTGCAGAAATAAGTAGAACTAGAATGTCAAATTCTTTTCTTAAATAATTGTATTAACAATAGTCATCTGACAATTTTTGATGAAAAATCATAAATATGTAAAAAAAACTGCAATACTGCAGTACATTATATATTTATCTTCTTTTTTCACGTCTTCTTTTACCTGTTCTTTATTTTTCTCTTCTTTTCACAGCTTCTTTTGCATATCATTTTATATAATTAACAAACTTTTTTAAAATATTGCACTACTAAAAGTTCTTATAAACTCCCTACCAGCCTACCTAAATTGATTTACTAATGCGACAATGTATTAGTACTAATTAACCTCCTTTCTAAGGAGAGGCTTATGTCCAGCAGTGGACTATTAAAGGCTATTGATGATTAGTACTAATTGCCATGTTTAGTCTTCCCTGATACCTTTTCTATGATATCACTTTCCTGTTACTTTATCACTTGCATATACAGACACAGTCCATTTTCAGACTCTCAACTTCTCAAATTCTGAAAATACCCTATATATTATATTAAGAATAGTTAAACCGGCAAACGTTGTTTTGCCATATACATTATTTCATTTTTTTTTGTCATAAAATAATAATTAGGGGTATGAAAACCAGATGTTAGCCGATTCTCAGACCTACCCGATATGCACACAAAATTTCACCAAAATCGGTGGAGCCGTTTCGGAGGAGTTCAACTTCTAACACCGTGACACGAGAATTTTATGTATATAAGATATGGGAGATCCGCTCGAGATCTATTTAAACCTATTGTTTATTAAAGAAACTATCATAAGCTTTGTACAAACGACAATTTGCAAGATTAACATTACTCCAAGATCTTAAAATCTACAACTGTATCATCACTTGGTTCTATGATAAAAATGATGTGACATATTGTACCATCGTAATTAATCTCTCAAAGAACGGCAACGGATTTGTGATTCTAAAGTTGTAAGGGTTCACATGCGGTGGTAGTCACTTACCATCACTTAAAAAATTTATTTTGCCCCCCCCCCTCCCCCCTCCCCCCGGGGGGGGCGGTGCATAAAAAACATATTGAGTCATAGTGATTATTGAGTATTGTAATTTTATTTAGTCCCAGCACACTCAGATATAATCTATCCTTATTCAACTTATTAAAAAGAGCTTACCAAAGATGTGACATCTGTAACGCTGGACATAAACTATATAAACAATGTATACATATATTGCTGATGTGTTAAAAATAATGTAGAAGTTAGTTTTATAGAAATATGAACCTAATTATTTAGTTGATAGAATTTACTAACGGTTGAGAATGGGCTGGTTTAGGTAACACTCATTTTACTCAGTTCCACTGGCAACAATATACTGGAATATTGCTTAAAATTATGAACATTTGTTAACAACACACTTAGGTCAAGTTGACTAAGACCACTTTAGTCAACTGGACTTAAATAATTTTTGTCAATTGGACTTAATATAATTTTAATCACATAGACTAAATAATTGAGATTTATTGGAATATAAACTATAAGTTAAAGGCAGTTACGATATCCGATTATACGAACACTAAGAAATGAATAAATGGTCAGGCATTATATTGTAACACAATAAATGAAAGAAAACAACCTTTTGTCGTGAAAACGATACTTTTTTAAATCTACGCAGATTAAAAAAGAAATCTAAAAAATCAGCTATCGCCCGACCAAAGTGTCTTGCCTTTATTAAAATTAATGTGTATATAAATATTATGACATAGACTTAACATCGCACCGAGAGTGCTTAATGAAAGTATTTAGTCGAATATCGGTAGTGAGTCGACTAAAATGTGGTAAACTGGACTTTAGTACAATAACGAGTGAGTTGATTGTTGTTAGGTACTCATTGTCTGCAATATAGGTGAGCTACCATGTTAATATCATAATATTTTAGCAATAAACTAATTACTAAATATACGCTAAAATGTACAGTCTCAACATGCGCTCAACAATCTCAGGAAAATGATAATATATATGTATATATAGATTCCACCGGGGTCTTTGTTCATAAGCATGTCGACATGTCATATGATTGTGTAAAATAAATATTAGTTCAAAACATATTACAACATTATTAGATAATTGTCAATTGTCAATAATTTGAAAAACTTTAAATTACCAAATTTATTTAATGTGATTCCAAATAAATCGTTTGGTGCTGTTCCTAATTTAGTTTTCAATGTCTTCTGTTATACCTAGTCCAAGGTAAATAACTATATATTACGATTTATTTAATTTAAATATTATAAGCTCGGTTCGGTTAACAGTAAAAAATAAATTTTGCTTTTAACCGAACCGTAGAATAATTTGTTTTTTTTTTCGGTTGACGGTAGAAGTGGAAATAAATGAACGTAAAATGCCCATTGATGTAGTATTTTCATTTAATTTGGGCGTTTTTTGTTGAGTATTTGTTTGTTTATTATCATACTGATTTGAATTAGTGTTAAGTATTTACGGATGAAAGACATTTCTTGTATAATAATAGTTAAAAGTGAATTATTAATAAGTAGATAAATAAAGTCCAGTATTAAGATATAAGGATTTTTTTATTATAATAGGAATGGTTGTCAAGTTTTCAGTGTTTGTGCATTCCTTGATTGTGTAGAAAGTTTTATAATATAAATATAATAATATTTCGTTGCTTGTCGAACAACAAGGTGCAAATTAAAAATAAAATTGGCAGTATAATCCATAGACATTTTAAACTGAAACTAATTTATAAACTCTTGATAACTAAGCAGTTTTTCTCCCCCCTGTAAAGTCGGTCAGAAGGCCAATTCTCGTAATCAAAGTTCGGTCAAAATTCAGTTCCGATCAACTTTCGATCTCGCAACTGTCATAAATGTATTTTCGTAGTAAAGTATAAAAATGACTTGGCGATGTTTTTCGAAAAGCGACGATTTTTAATAAAAGGAAATGATTTATGCGAAATACAGTCCTTAAAATAACAGGTGTTTATTAATAAATAATTATTGAATAAAACTTAGTGATATATTTGAGAAAGACATTCTGCATTTCACAAAAATCATTAAAAAGTTGTGAGTTTGTTACTAAAATATAAAACAGTGAATAAATTTGTCTATTATTAAATAAACAATAGATATTGTGATTAGAGATTTTATACCAAATTCTGCTATATTTTGTTGTTGGTATAAATGGTTACACTGGTTATAAAACTATTTTGTATTGAACTTAAATCATTATTATTCGTACATTTTAATGTAACTATAAATTTGGGTGCCAAAGCAATATTATGTAATGATAGATTACAACAGTTTTACAAAATTTAGCACAATTTGGTCTTAAAAATAGACTATAGGAACATTCATTCAAATAAAACAAATATATGTTTATATATTTTCTTATTTAGTTTTAAAGTGTTGCTACATTCCACGCTTTGTGTGATATGTAGACGCATTACTGGTTTTTATCGAGTGTAATATTAGACACAAATCAAGTTTTTTTTAAAGCAGGCCTCAAGGCCTAATGTTAAAACCTTAAAGCTTATTGAGTATATGCTCTGTAATAAACATTAATTTCAAAAGAATAATATATGTACGAACCTTATTAAGAAGGTGGAATTTATTTATTTTCTTAATTTAAATAAATACGGAATGTATGAAAATTATTTTTTTATATTTTTCGTTCAAAATTGTATATAAAGCAGATTCGTGTTAACAGTGTAGTGTGTACAGTCGTGTGGAGTGGTACGTTAGTACAAAATATTGCTTAGTTTTTTTTGTAAGTTTGGGGTTCACTCACAAAGCAATAAATGAATGTTCACTAAATATTGTGTTTCATTTGAGTTTACAATCGACTTTTACTATAAAATGTATCCTCCCACAGTGAGAAATCGTGAATATTCGTTAGTTCTCAATTTAAGAGGATGATAAGTCATAGAAGGATTTGATAATAATAAAATTACTTTCCAATACGCTACTTAGAGATGAAGTTACAAAAAAAAAAACAACATTTATGTGTCACTAACACTGGCTTGGCAACCATAATTGATTTTAAATTCGATAACAAAAAGAAAATATTCCAATTTGTCGCCAAAAGTCAGAATTTGTCGATCACTGGTTCAAAACTTATAATATAGGGGGTCCTGCTGGGGTAAGTCGCCCTAGCAATTTTTTTTTTTTTTTTTCCGTGCGGTAATCCCCTCGGATACCACCCGTTGGTGGCATGTCGGACTCGAACCGACTAAAACCGCACGCCGTCTCGGGTACTAATAGCCGGGGAACCAGGTATACCCTGGAAAGGAAGTCCCTGGTACAATAACTAGAGCACCTAGCGAAGATCTATTTTCTTCCTAATTAAGTCGCTAATTAGTCGAAATTTGTCGCCAATTCACAGATTTAGTCGGGTCTTAGTTTAGGAGATGTCATGAGCTCAATTTTTAAGGTAGGTATAGTCTAAGAGTTAGATCGCAGAGTTTACGAAAAATTATATTAGTATGTATGTGTACCTACTTCTTGTTTTAAATCCCTTTAAATGTCAGAGAGAGATAAAAAAAATAAAATACATGTGTACGTATAGGAACATCATATTATATACTAGCTATACCCTGTCACGCTTCGCTGACACGCTTCGCACACTGTGGTTGCAAAGAATTTATAAAGACTACCTATAGATAGTCTTTATAAATTCTTTGCAAGTACGAAGTAGCGTGGGTTAGAACCCACGCTACTTCGTCTGTGTCTCTCAAAAAGCATAAACATTTCCCGTTTCTTCTTCGTAGTAGACTAAAAAACAACATTTTGTAGTGAACCGACTTCTGAATTGAAACCATTCTTGAATCCACTTAAAAATCATACCTATATTCAAAATTCAGTAACAGAGGTTTTTATTGTGATATAAATTAGAGCCTAACGTTACAATTTGGCAAAACAGGTGCATGTAATGCAATTGTGTATATTGACACCAAACCAAGAGCAAGGTTTAATATTTTAGAAGAAGTTTGTGTTACTCTAAAAGACTGGCATTTAAAACATAAAAACATATTGTATTTAATTGAAAATTTATTTCTCTGTAACATTTCTAATGATTTCAGACCGATAAAACTAGAACTACATAAACCGACCCGACCCGAGTAAATCTGTAACAAAAGTACTGGAACAAATTGCTAATGATTTACGACTAAATAACAATCTGATCGATCTCTGATGACACTCCGTGTAGGCAAATGTTAATGTGGTAATTGCAGTTGTACCGAAAGAGTAAAATCTAAGGATGGGATTTCCCTAAAACATTCTCAAATTATTACCATGACATGACCAAGACAAGTTGACGCTGGTTGCCAAAGCCTGTTCTTAAAATACCTCTACGTTAAGAAATGACCATGATTAAACCATTAAAAAAAAATCTTTTTTATCGTGGAGTGATAAACATTTAAAAGAAATATTGTAGTTTTTATACATACCACCTATTTTTAAATACTTTTATGCACAACTTCAATTGATATCAGAAGTTCTTTTTAAATAAATAGTTATAAAAACTAAATTAACGTTATTTTATCGCTCTATTGTTTTTCGCTCGGCAACATTGAACATTGTTGTCTAAATATCTATCTTATCTAGTATCTGTCAATTTCATATGTTGACATTTTAAGGTTAAGCTGCTAAAATTCTCTTCCTGTTTCCAATCAAATTTCTTCCAAGTATAATTTGATAAATAATCGCAATATGTTGCGACGAATAGCATGTACTATAGTACAATCTCGTGGTATAAAACATACGGTAAATATCAAGTGGGTCAGGCCGGAGTATGTGCCTGCATACAAACCAGAAAAGTCTGGTGACTTAGAAGGTATGCCACCGATACCCGAGAGCGCTTTGGGCATAGATTATGCCTTAACTGAAGAAATAAAAGAGTGAGTATCATAACTGGGACGGCCGTATTCGTGATAAAGAAGTACTATACAATACCCATAATCTTCGTATTTGCCAAATTCGCGATTGACGGACTTAGGACGGACGGACGGATTCTATTCTACTGACTGGTATTTCTATAAACTTTAATATAATACAAGTACGAGTTACTCATATCTTATATATAAAATTCTCGTGTCACAATGTTCGTTCCCGTACTCCTTCGAAACGGCTTGACTGATTCTCATGAAATGTTGTGTGCACATCGGGTAGGTCGGCCAACATCTATTTTTCATACCCCTAAATGGTAAAGGTGACCCATCCCTAATTTTTTTTTGTTTTGCAATACAACGTTTGCCGGGTCAGCTAGTATGTCTATAAAAACGTACTCATCACACAATATTTGTCCCGGATGCAAGTTAAACCCATAATCTTTGGCTTAGTTGTCTGGCTGACTATCCCCCCTGGCCACCAGGCCTGTCGAAGGTTTGTCTTAATTTAAAAAAAATCCATGTAAAAATCACCAGCTCTTCTCTAAACATTGAAGACATTTTCTAGTTGGAGGTATTTCGAATTTTTATTTATTGCTTGTAAAATCATGCTAATTTTCATTTTCTACCTCTTTAGTGCACCAGAATCAGTGAAGAAAATATTTTCAGTTGGTCACCTTGGACGCAAAGAATATAACAATTTGGTAAAACAGGAGCTGAAGGATAGAGTCAGAAGGCATCAGTACGATACTAATACTGCTGAAACTAAAAGTATGCATTTTTTTTTAATATTCTGATACCAGACAGAACATTGTCAATTATATCTTTTAGATGTGTGTAAGGATGCAGTTATGCGCAATATACATAAGGTACTGCATTCCATAAAAATGTAAAAAAAACATAATTAGGCTTATAATAAAATTAAAATTAAAAAAAAAAAAAAAAAAAAAACTGGATATAAAAAAAAAACATAATTAGGCTTGAAATTCTGGATATAAAAAAAATTTACTAAATCCAATCTTAATTAATTGCAGTATAATTGGGGTAAACTATATGAGGGATGTTGAAGTTAAAACAATTCAACTAACAATTCTGATGGAGTCTTTGTTATTTATAATTAAAATATTTAAGAACTTTATATGTATGTCATCATCATCACACATCAACAGCCTTTAATAGTCCACTGCTGGACATAGGCCTCTCCTTAGAAAGAAGTTTTTGGCCTACTATACCATGCTGGCCAGAGAGGTTGGTAAAGGGTTTTTCCTTCTTTAGCAGGGCTGTTGTCCTGCAAAGCTTGCTCTCTTAGTTGGCTCTTACAACACCCACGGGATGAATAGGAGTGTTGCCTGTAACAAACAATAAATAAATTGATTGATTCATCAGAAATTAGTAAGTACATTGACTAATAAAATGAAAACAGCAAATGATCAGATGCAAAATTCAACATAATTTGTTAAGCTTTTTAGGCATGAAAACATGACATGCAGGCATTTATTTTCTTATCTATTTATTTTTTCAGTTGCATGGCTAACGGCACAGATTCGTTACCTGCAGGACACTATGGATAAATTCCCAAGAAACTCCAAGATGAAGGTAATTATTAAATTTTTTTGTTAATCTATAGAAGAGCATAAGCATAACCGAAGCATGTTACAATATTACGCCTCACTAATTACTACATTGAGTGTTTCATCATCATTTGGGATTCACAAAAGGCCATTCTATATTCGGTGTGCTTTATATGTATTGCCAGAAATATGATCTTAGTTTTATTATTACTTACTTTTATGTTTTTATGTTTATATATAAAGTCTCTTTGGGTTCCACCTCACTGAGTACTCGGTAAAGTAGTATGTATTGTTAAAATAAACTCTTAACTCTACTTGACAGGTAAGTGACACTCTCACTTACTGAGGGATGTTGATTACTGGCATACAGATGAGAATTATGTATACTGGCAACCAGTCCGGCTTCATCCAAATGAATACCTGCCTAAAATATATATATAATATCATATATTCTACCACATTCACACAACGCCATCTAGTCCCAAACTAAGCAGTGCTTGTACTATGGGTACTATACAACTGATATAAATACATATATCCTTTTTTTTTGTAAAACATACATATTATACACAGAAACAACATTAAATGTTTATGCACACAAATGTTTGACTTGAGCGGGAATCGAACCCGCGACCTTTGGAATAGCAGTCCATTACACAAACCACTATGCCATCCGGTCGAATCATAACTATGTCTATGTTTTCCCTGTCATAGTTAATGGGACTTTTAATTGTAATAATACATTATTTTCGTTATTGTTCAGACAGATAGATAGTCTTACTTTATGTTATAATAGAAAGTGATCATTGTTGTATTATTTTTTTAGCAACTGGTGCAAGAGCGCATTGACAGAAGAAAGAAGTTGTTAAAGTTTTTACGTCAATATGACTACAAGAAATTTGAGTGGCTGCTGGAAAAACTTAATATCGAATATAAGGCTCATCCCGAGTAAGTTTATACTTGTCACTGACTACAGTAGGGCAAGATAGATTGCAGTGTAATTAACAACTTTTAGATGTTTTATAGCGAGCTTGGGGATCATTATTTGCGATAAGGTAGTTGCTTCTTATAGAAGTAAATTCTTTAACAATAACAACGGAATTTACGTTAATGATTTGACGTTAGTTATGATCATATCTCATTATTTCTGAAAATATGATTTAGTTAGCGTTCTGACGTTTAATAAAGTGGAACTAATATGACTTCGCAAACAAAATTTTTCTAAATGTTGTCACTATTAATGTCTAAGTTATTCATACCTTCACTAGTAGCTTTGTTGTACTAAATCTGTACAGTGTGTTTAGGACATGAAGTGACTGCCAATCTTAAAACAAATTTCGGCTGTTCAAAGAAATTTGTGTAATTCACAAAGTGTTGTTCTGAATCTGGGTGTTCTTTGTGTCCGTTTCATGTATGTTTGTAAAGTCCCCCGCGACACAGGATATATTCCACATTCGGGAGTTGTCTTGAAAAATAATAATATTAGATTGCCTACTCACTTGTTTTGACTTTCGGTATTAATTAAATACTTATGTATTAGTATTAAGAAAGATAGCTACATATCTGTACTATAACCCTTACAGGTCCCACCACAAGTTATCCCGCAAGGAGTCACTTCGCAAACTAACCGAGATGCACTGCGAGGACATTCGTAAAAAAAAACTAGATGATTATCGTAACTTATTAGAAAGTCAACAAGGACCGTACTTGAAGCAAAAGCTAGAAGCGCTCACCTTCATAAGAAGTGAACAGATCGATTTACAAATGCCTGTAACAGTGACCGAGCAAGATATTAAAAAGGTTGAAAAGATGCTGGCAGAATGGACCGTCAAGGATCAGATGAAACAACAGGCTCAGAAGAGAAAAAAGATTATTGCTATAGATTTGAATTAAAGTTTTCAATGTAGGATGTAGTTAAATAAATTATTTCATTGGCTGATGTCATTTAATTTTATGTATGTACCACACAACCTTTACATATACATAATTTAACCACATTAAAATATGCTATAACTTTCCTGCTGTTTTTATCTTAGAGATTACTCATGTTATTCCTATCCATATCTGTGGTTACCCGTGAGACAGAAGAGATCTGTATTTTGTTACTTTTGATAGATTTTCAACGGATATTTTATATTTAATGTTTATGAATTGTTTAGATTTATATGGTCACAAATGGACACAGTATGGTCCAAAATGAAGCAACCACACATTTACTTAAATATTTCTAAAAATGTTTATTTATTCCCAATAAAACTTATTTCTATAAAAAGGACAACAATTTTAACAGCTATGTCCCAGATCAACAAAATCACAAAATAGAATATCAATGAGCAATTTAAACTTCAATCTTCATTATCTCAAGTGTCTTTTTGTGGGTTGGATCCTTTTTGCGTACCTTCGTCCAATTGCTTGTCATGCTATGCTATAGCTATAGAGGCGTACAGTGACGCCCTCTGCCAGACTCAATTTGAGTTATTCCCCGGCCTCACAGGAAACGGGTGTGGAGCTTTTCAACAAGTGACTGAGGTTACTCAGAAGACAGGGGTGTGCCCTATGCCTCTGACGGGGACTCAAAAGGAACCGACGCTCTTGTTACCCTTGAGACGTAGGTGTTCATGGGCGGCGTAGTCACTATGAGGTGACCCGCCTTGTTTGCGCTCTTACACCATTTAAAAAACCTTTAGAAGACAGCTTAATGTAAATAAACAAGCAGTAAAATAAATAAAGCAATACACAGTTTTAAACCATTTTATTAATAAGTACAAAATTACATACAAATCTTTAAATATTAATAAAAAAAGCGTATTGTCAAAGTCAGTCGAATTTGGACGGAGTATATTTTACATAAACATTGTTAAGTACATAGTATAATAGCAAATGTAATTATAATTGAAAGTATTACTTAAACTTAAGGAAGACGACCCTTAATATCTATAATTTACATAAGTATGGCTAGACCAGACGACATTAATAACATAAATCTTCAAAATTTCATAACGATTTTTATATTGTCATATATGGCGATTCAACCACAACAAGCCAAATATAGTTTCTGCAGAAATTGGTTTATTCTTATAGGGACAATTTTCGATAAACTGCTGTTTTTTTGGACGTGATAAGTGAATGTGGGGTGCCATTTGTGGTACAAATGGGGCGGGTGTCCCTAGAGACCGGTGGTGTGTGGGGCGGGGTATCCCTACAGGCCGGTGGTGTGTGGCGGGTGTCCCTAGAATACTGTGGTGTGGGCGGGTGTCCCAAGAGGCCGCTGGTGTGGGGTGGGTGTCCCTAGAGGCAGATGGTGTGGGCGGGTGTCCCTAGAATACTGTGGTGTGGGGGGTGTCCCTAGAGCCCGCTAGAGGCTGGTGGTGTGCGGGGCGCGCGCGTAGGCGGTGGGGATGAAGCCGGAGCGGCGCGACTTGGGCGCGTGTGCCCAGAGCCAGCCCTCGACGGTCTGCTGCGTGAGGTCGGCGTACACCCACTCGCCGCGCTTCACCGACAGGTCGTCCGGCGCCTGCGCCTATACATACACAAATTATTTTATATAAATTATTATTCACGCTTGAGGTTTTTTTAGTCAGATGTTTTAACCTTATAATCGTAAAGCATGACTAGTTCGGTGCCGTGGTATCGCCCGTCGCTGTCGAGCTGTTGTGCGTTGTTTATATTATTGTTCATCATGTTGTTGGCGGGTGTCGGAGGCGATAGTGACGGTTGCGTGTTGTCTTGTTGTGTTGCTGGAATAAAAAAGAAAACGGAATTAACGATAAACAGACTCAAATTTCACAGAACTTATCATAACTTGGTTTAACATTATTTGTTGTAGAATTGGCCTCTATGTGTGTGCCTGTATTTCTGGTTTTAGGTGTCTCCATATGTGCGCGAGTTTGTGTCTTTGTTTCTGTGTGCCTGTATCTATGAGTCTATGTATCTGTGACTGTGTACCTGTGTGTACCACTATAGGTCAAGCCGTTCAAATTTTTTAACCCTTTTCTAATCGAGGAACATCATCATCATCATCATCAGCCTACCGCAGTCCACTGCTGGACATAGGCCTCTCCCATTGCACGCCACTTAGATCGATTTTGGGCTTCTCACATCCAGCTCCTGCCAGCCATCTTGCGCAAATCGTCACTCCACCTGGCCTGTGGGCGTCCTACACTACGTTTACCGAGACGCGGTCTCCACTCAAGAACTCGTTTTCCCCAACGGTTGTCGGTTCTGCGACTAATATGGCCAGCCCACTGCTACTTCAGCTTGCTGATCCGGTACGCTATGTCGGTGACCTTTGTTGTCTGCCGGATCACCTCATTTCTGATGCGATCCCTTAGAGAAACGCCGAGCATAGCCCTTTCCATAGCACGTTGAGCGACTTTGAACTTGTGGACCAGCCGTACCATAAGTGTCCACGTTTCAGCTCCGTATGTCATGACGGGTAGAACTCACTCATTAAAGAGTTTCGTCTTAAGGCACTGTGGGATCGACGATGAGAAGACTCGACGTAGCTTCCCAAACGCTGCCCAACCCAACCGAATTCTTCTGTTCACCTCGTCCTCGAAGTTGTTTCTACCTAATTGCAATGTTTGCCCGAGGTACACATAATTTTGAACAACTTCGATAACGCCACATTCCAGGGTGCATTTACATTTTTAATTTATACTTGTCTATTCTCATAATATTAATCCAATTGTAAGCTAAGATTGAAGTTATGGTTTAAGACATTTATTTCCTCAAAAGAATATTTACATTCGTTTGTCAGAGAAAATACAAGATAAAAAAAGTAAGTAACAAGTGCTGGAGCGGTGCTTAAATTACATATTATTGTTTTTACATCTAAGTAAATAAATATGTAGTACAAAACTATTAATAAATAAATAAAGAGGGTAGCTATCACAAAACAAAACCAGCCGGACCCACGCCTGCCGAGATTACCAAGTTTGCAATATTGCAAGTTGTAAACAAGTATGTTATGGCCGTATTACGTATTGTATGGCGATTGCTATCGTACTTCTATCGAGTGACTGTTATCATGTATTTTTTTTTCGTTTTTAAATTAGCTTTATACCATTAATATGTAGCCTACTGTTTGTTAAATATTAAAAGTATTTTTAATTTTTAAAGATTGAAGTTTTCACCCACTTACATGAGAATAAACAAAAAATAATGACAAATTACCTTGAACGACAGCGGGATAAACGAAACCGGACGGTATGAAGCCTTCTTGTCCATCGCTTCGGACTATCCAGTACCAGTCTGGGTCTTCTCTATTTAGCACTGTGAAATAAATACAACATTTAATATAACATCCTGTCACATTCCAAAAATGCATTTAGTGATATGAATAATTGGGCCAGTGGATAGTTATGGTGCCTCCTGAGTCAGAGATCGTGAGTGCGACACGAATGGGCCGGCTCGAACGGAGTGATACCACGGCCTCACAGAAAACCGGTGTTAAGCAATTCTTTCGTTGCCTTTCATTGAGTGAGTGAGCTTACCGGAGCCCAAATCCTCCCGCTGACTCGAGCGAGAGGGACTCCAAGGGCTTCAACGCACCTGTGACTTTTGAGTTGCAGGTGTCCATGGGCGGCGGTAGTTGCTTACCATCAGGTGACCCGTCTGCTCGTTTGTCCCCTTATACCATTTTTTTTATTAAAAAATATAATTGTGTGATGAAAACGATAATTTGTACTATTCTGTTTTATCAATAACTAGTAGTTCCCCGTAGTTTCATTTCAGTTTTAGTCAGCTCATCTCAGCTCAGTTTGCTCATCATCTGTTTGATAAACAATTTATATAGTAGGAAAATGAATTATCTTATATTTATTTTTCTTTTAATATTTTAATTATTATCATGCTATTTTGGGCGTAGATTACTAATGTATTTAATGCTATAGTAAAATATCTCACCCGTAACAAATTCCCCGCGCTCAACATCCACATCATTCTCGTCTCTCGCAGTGAAGGTGTACAGCACCACATATCTGCCTGAAGGGTCCTTGCTGAATGGACAAGCTTCGCCTTCGCTGCCCAACTCTGAATGACCATCATTTGTGACGCCGTCTGATACGGATAGCCTGTGGAGAAGTACAAAATAGAAATGTGGAAAAATAGAAGCTGTAGGGGGAAGAGTAAATAGTCCTGAGTACGGTACTGTACGGATACATAGACATTTTAATAAACAGTAACTTTAGTAACAAAGAAATAAAGTTCAATATTGAATACCACTACAAATTATACTTGGATATTTAAAGGCCGATCTACGGTCGATACAAAAAAAGTGGTGTCGTTGAAAACAGCTGTCATCATCTTAGAAAGACACACTTTACGCCAGTGATACGACGTGTTTGTGCCTACTAAGTGAATCGCCGCTAAATTACTGGCATCACAAACACATGTGAAATGAAAAAACTGATCTGAACTTTCATATTACCATCATAGACAGTAGGTTCAATTTTATTGCTGACATTATATACCTTTGATTTGCTGAAGTTTCAACCGTATTGCACCGGCCGTGGTCGCGGGTGGACTCGGCCCGCCGCCTACAATAATCATATTGTAATGTGTATAAAAAGCATCAATGTTGAATTTCTGATAAATAAGTATGTATTAATAAACATTATTCTAAGTAGAGATGGACATTTAAAATATACATCGATGTTTTTTTCGATGTAATGCATCGATCGGTCACATCGATGGTAATACGATGTATTGAGAAATACATCGATGTTTCTTAAACATCGATTATTTTCGCCATGACGTGTTTTAGGTTAGGTTAGGCCTTAATTAAAAAAAATATATATATTAATAAAAGCAGGAAATATATTTATTCAAATTCAAAATCACACAACCAACACATTTTTCTTTACATATTCCAATATTTTTTGTCAATGCTATGTAAAAACCAAAGTTTACTTAATCTCTTCCCCTTCAGTCGGTTCCTTCGTTCAATTCAGTGAGTATTTATTTAAAGCGAATTCATAATCTAGTATTTTCACATAATAAAAATCAAGTTTAATTTAATTTTCCCGCGAACAAACGAATAATACGAGTCGAACGACCTACAGCGTTCCAACGAGCGAATTAAAAGAACCCCGCTCAATAAACTATAGCTATTTGGCGGCTATACAACACTATACTCATTCATAATTTGCTTGGTCGATACATCGAATAAAAAACATCGATATATATTCGATGTTGAAGTATTAACAATACATCGGTTTAATACGACGCATCGTTACTATACATCGAGTGTTTTAAATAAATCGATGTATATCGTCCATCTCTAATTCTAAGTAAGTTTTGCTTGTAGTTTGATGTTTGTAAAGCTCAGAAAAAAAAATTTATTTATGTAAAGTGTATGTTTGTGTACACTTCAAAAACTCAAAAAGATCTACGCCAATTTCACTCAGATTTTGATACAATTTACAACCAATTCAAAGATTGTTTTTATCTATTTTTCGCGTAAATTCTTTTCCCCATCTATCATCAATGCAATTTCAATGTGCACGGTGAAGGGTGGCAGTACCCAGCAAGTATAAAATATTTCTGGATATGGAGAATATAATTATATATAATCAATAAAGAAATACCTTGTCATCTCTATAGTTTAAATCAAACTTTGGTTTATTCACTGTTATGATAGCTTAGCAAGAGTATCAGATCACTGATTTATACATACTGTGAAACATCTCTATGTGCTAAATCGGTAGGAGACCGACTCCTAGGCAGTTTTTTCTTTAGGTCGTGTTCGCAGGGCGCGCAGTAGGAGTGCGGTATGAAGCCCTCGCGTCGAGACTCGGCCACTATCACATATACCCAGTCATTTTCTCTGTACAACACATTGACTATTTGTCCACGTTTTACCTGAAAATAGTATGATATAAGGGATTATAAGCACAGCAAAAGCATGACATTGACATGACCCCCTCTATATGTAACGGACACGAAGAACACCCAGACTCAGAACAAAAATTTGTGGAACACACAAAGTGGTGTCCGATGTAGGGATCACAGCCACAACATTCAGTGGCAAGTGGTGTCCGATGTGGGGATTAGAGCCACATCATTCAGTGCAGTAGGATCGCCTAAACCATCCCTGCAGTCATTGTTCTCTATAATATTATGTAGCTAGTTATATGCACTTTATGGCATATATTAGTTTAAGAATTCTTGTATTCTGTTCACCATAATAGTTTTGACATGTATTTGTATGTATAAATGTGTTGCTTGAATTGACTGCATATCATTTCAATTACCTTTATTACCTACTAGCTGGTGCCCGCGACTTTGTTCGAGTGGAATTTGAAAAGCGCTGCCTTAGTGAGTTCGATTCCTGGACCAGGCAAAATTTTATAGGGTTTTTCTGAGAGAAAAAATAGCCTAAGTTACTCCTTATATAGACAGCTACTTGGTAGTAAAATATTATCAAAATCGGTCCAGCCGTTTTGAAGTTTACGTGGAAAAGACAGACAAAAAAAATTTAAACTGGTTTTTAGGTATAGGTATTGTGCAAATAACCATGTAAGCATTAAAAAAACCTATTATTTTGAGATTATAAACAGACACTTCTATTTATTTGTATAGATGTATTTTTGTATAGATTTAAATTTCATCAAAATCAATTCTTGTTTACTGTGTAAATATTTTACAATTCTTTTACATTTTTCTTACACCGAAACTACCCATGAATTAATCTATTTACAGTTGATTTGTCTATCCAAAGTTTGCCTGGAAGAAATCGCTTTCAGTGCTAAGACTGCCATTTGTACATGTACAGTAATTTGACATACTCTTGTAAAAAATAAAAAAATTGTGTACAATAATGTTTATTCCATTCTATTTTACATTTAATTTTTTTTCAATACTAATATATGGATTATATTATACAATGCTTAAATATCTGTTACCTCAAGCTCATCATCCACACACGGTGCAAAGTCATGGAGCACCACCATTTTGGAATCTGGACTCAGTCCATGCTCCTTCTCTATTCCCACCCTCACTAGAGTCTCTATGCTGGCTGAGCCAGTGATTCGGCCCATGCCAGGACTTAGTCCAGAGCCGGGACGGGAGAGGTCTTTGTCTGAGTCACCACTGCTAGCTGTAAATGTACATTAATAATGTGTTGAAATAGCAACGCAGAGATATGAATTGAATTTGAGAGCATGCTTGCTGAGCTAATTTGCTATCAGTCAGGGGCATTTAGAGGGAAAAATATTGAAATACTTCATAATTCTGTTTATTTTGTATGATATCTTATCTTCTCCTTCATTTACATAAAACTATTGTACCTAATAGAAAGAGGGCAAAATCTGGGTAACTGGACTTGACTGTAACCTTATATCTAACACAAGGTATTTGCAAAAAAATTTAAAAGCTTTTACAAGGACAGGGAGATTTTTGATGAGACTACTTAGAAATGGACAACATTTCTATATTTAAATAAAAAGCTGAATACCGTACATAGCATATCAAAATATGTACAGACTTACAATAATTCATAAAACAACTGGTTAATGTTTGAGAAATCTTTTATCTTACTAAGTATAATGTAATATCTTTACATCTCATGGCTTTTAATTATCTCATTAAGTGTAAGACTGGGTTATGCATGTTTTATAATGTAAATTACGGTACTAATACTTGTACTAGTATACCACTTTTTAAACTTATTCCAAAGTTGTACCATTGACAAGCTTTTGACATTCTACTTTTAAATAATCATCAGTTAGCAATACATAATTTAGTATTGTTACGGTCAAGGGTATTGGGCATACAGGTTGTCAGATGAAACAAGATGAAATTACTAGTTTCATATATTTATAATTATATAGAAAGTATGAGGTCATTGACATGAAAAGTTTAGTATGAAAGCTTTACTTACATTTCTTCTTCTTTCCCCTTCTAATCCTAACTGGACACAAAAACGCCATAATGTAATATTTATAAACACATAACTAATTGATTAGAGTCAATTTCTTCAACTTATTGTTACTGCTTCGGTTGTAAAATACGATTTTCTCACGATTTCCTACATGTCAAAAAAGTTCACAAAACAACTTTTTATACGTTTTGTTACTGCTCTCTACAAAATCGACGTTTCGTTAACTTACTTTACTTTATCACTACTATAGTAAGTTAGCAAATTAATATAAATTACAAAATTGTTACTATATCTATTTATTATCTCTTCGCTTGATTATACATTTCTGCAAAATTTTTGCCTCTACAATATTTCTATGCATATTAAATATATAAGTAAATCGAAGCTCAAATGCATTCAGACTTATAATATACTATACCTTACCCGATTGTTATGCAGACCATTGAGATTGTCAAATGATATTTTATGTGCATATAAGACCCAAAAGTTTGAAAACAGGTGTATTTGTATGTAGGTTGTACATATATTCTAAAGATACTATTAACTGTGCTTAAAACGTTTTTATGAACAATTGTTCTATTCGACACTTAACCCCTTAGCGTATTATTTATGTTAGCATTCGCGCCAGCGAGCTTCAAGGAATATGATATTTAAGAAGAAAAATACATGAGTAAGAGCGGAGGCTTCAGATTGGGGCTGACTAAATCTAGTCCACTTCAACCCAAAAAAACACAGGTCTATGCGTACATCGCAAAGAAGATACCATTTGTCGTATCACCTCGGTTTGAGAGCACCTCCCTAACTGCCTCAGCCAGTATCGGAACCCATCATCGACATATCGAGCGAAGTCTAGTTTCTTGTTCAATTAGAGGGTAAGGTCAAATTGGCCTCGAAGAAGCTCGGTGTGCTGAACAGATCGAGGCAGTATACCCGGCCACCGGCCATCGGCCCACCGCCTTCAGCTCTGTAAGGCGCAAGTTCAGGCGGATATGGGATAGTGTTCTCATCTCAATGCACCTCAGTACCAGCTCCTCCCTCTGACTGAATAGCGACTTGAATCGTCGATAGCCCAAACCTCTCCGAGATATGGCGCTTGACTCTGCATTCTCTATCGTATATATCATGGAGAGTGCTCCGAGCAATTGTTTGGACCAATACCGTCCGCAAGTTTCCGCCATCGTTCCACACGCACGTTCCTTTACAACTGTGCCCTTTTCGAGACCCTTTTTGCTTCGCACAACCAATCTGTGGAACAAGGCATCGTCTGCGGTATTTCCGGACCGATACGTCCTTCAAACCTTCAAGAAAAGGACGGCAAAGCGTTTGTGACTCCTGAGTTGCAGACGTTTATGGACGGCGATGGTCACTTTCCATCAGGTAACCCGTCTGCTCGTCTGCCCCCTCTAACATAAAAAAAAGAGTACAACTTTGTTGTAATAAATTAAATAATTATATTCATATACGTGAATCAACGCGATTATTCGACTGAGTCGGCTTAAGGCAATTTAAAGGTATGCAATAGATACCTTCTGTTACGTGATTGCGTTAATTTCAGTGTTTGGATGTCGATAAAATATATCTGTATAATTTATTTATGTTCTATGTTTTATAATGCATAGTTGCGCACTCGTCTTTTTCATTCTGGTGAGCGTGCTCGTGGAATATGTACCATGAGTCTAATACTCTTCATTTTGGTACACAAAGTGTGGTAGTACAGTTAGACGCTACGCTTAAGTCTACTACCGTGTTCATATATTTACAGGAATAGTCATGGTACGCTGGTTTAATTTTACGATGGCGTTATACAATGTATTAATTCTAAATGTAAAATGTGTGGTCATCATTTGTTACCATTATTTAGCTTTGTTATTGTCAGGGACAAAGTAATGCAGTGATGTAGGGATAAATTCCAACGTTTGAAAATATTCGTGTGTTTAAAATCAGCACCATTAAAAATATCTAACGTTTTTTATCGAAGGTTACCTACTAATTTTACCTACCTGTATATTATGATAGACTAGTAAGTTCAGTAGATATAAATATACTTTAACTTAAGTATATTAAACCTACAGTAATATCAATTTCAGATTTTGATGGATTGCATGAGTTAAAGTGATCTTGTTTACGAATAAGGGAGTGAAAAAAACATTCCCATTATTGAAAAATGTTTATTCACAGTATTAGATAGGTACACGATATAAAGGCAGTCGTCGACTTACACGCTAAAATATTCATCGATACATTTGGCACAAACTTTTTACGTGTTACTGTAACATCAAAGTACAAAAATACACACAGATTTTTAACAATTTTAACTTGAACTAACTATTAATATTTCATTCAACCTTTATTTATAATGGCGAATTTTATAACATTCTACAACTTCAGATAGACTTTCACTTAAAAGGTAACATGTCATATTAACCGATAAAATAATGTCTTAAAATATTTTATATTATATTATTAAATCTAATTTACTAAGTTTATAGTATTGTTTCATGATCTTTATTCTTTAATCTTTTATGATTAATTTTTTGCTAACAGAACACGAGAAGAAAATGACTATAAAATGATATTCAGATTTTCTCCTATATTTGAATCAGTAGTTTCGTAAAACTGTGATAATATTCCTCTAGTAAGAATAACATTCAAATTTAAATAATCAAGCACCGTCCTGCTTTGAAGCTCTCTCACTTAACGCTATTACATATTGAACCATTCACTTTTTTTCAAATTCAAAGTTACTCAAAAGTAAATCAATTAAAGGTGTTGAGTATCTGTTAATGAGTGCCACGACTCGTGACGATGATCCGGGAATTTAATACAATCCATCCAGTGTTTCAGCCTCCTTCCTTTGCTACTGGCTCCGAGGACAAGGCTTCCTAGAAAATCGTTGGGTTTGCCATAATCTTTATCCCAAACCGTCAATGTCAAATTTTGGCGCGAAAGTTCCGTGGGACGTGTTTCGAACAGAAATTCCTCATTCCAAACTGGATTCAAGTTTCGCCATTTTATCGACGATTTGTGTTTCTTGTGGTATGGGTCCGGATCTAAGTGGCTGTAACAAAATTAAACAGATTAGTAGGTAAATTGTTAAGTATTACCTACATTTACGTTACACAGATCTCGTTTTTTTGTTTCGAGAATTAAGTTTGAAAAAACGTGACATTTTGGGTTTTAAACGATTATGAAATTATTTTTAATTCATTTCCTGAGATGGTAAAAAGGCACCACATTTAATATTTACATCTTTTATGTAGGTATATATTAAATAGAAAATAGTAGGGGTTACGTATGGGTGCCTATGATAACAAAAAAAAATATTTTATAATAGTAATATTCTGACGTAGAAATAATCGTTTTATGTAGATTTATGGGAGAACGTTTAATATTTCCACTAAAAAGTTAAGTGTGTGTGTGTTTAACCATTAGTTTATCTACTTACACTTGATGATGATTTTCGATAAGTTAACAAGACTCATGATTCCCGGATGTCTTACTAATTAGGTAGGTACTTAACTCAATATGTGAGGAAGTTGCATGATCGCAAGTCTTCTCAGCGAACATGTTAGTTATTTTTTAATTCATCAGGTAGGTATCTAAATGCAACTAAAACTGTGTAACTCGATGTTTCGATTTTTTTTTGTTAGTTTTATACAACTTTTTTTTAAAACACAACTCCCGCAAGAGCAATATATCCTGTGTCGCCAGGGACTTTACAAACATTCATGAAACGGACACAAAGAGAATACAGACTCAGAACACCCACAACACTTACCGCAGTAGAAAGCGGTGAGGTGACCGCTTAACGCGAGCGCGTTGCCTGGTTATATACCTGGTTCCCCGGCTATTAGTACCCGTGCGGTTTTAGTCGGTTCGTGTCCGACATGCCACCGACAGGTGGTATCCGAGGGGATTTCCGTACGGAAAAAAAGAAAAGAAAAAAAAGTTGACCGCTTAACGACATCCATGCAGACAAGTCATATCCCACTAACCATGCAAAACCACTACCCTATTTAACTAAATTCCTGTTAAATATTTAAATAAAAAATATATTTACACTGACGTTGAAGTTACTTACAGTTTAACAAACGGATCCGAATAGCCGTTGCTGTCTTGAGGTGGAAGATCAGCTCCCCTGCAGACTGTCACCACAAGGGCTCTTTTCTTAGTGCTGTAACACAGCGCTAGCAGTATCCTAGGACCCGTGGGCTCCGTGCCATTGGACCCTGACAGAGCCAGTCGAAGCTGTGCTGGAGACTTTGCGCATTCTCTCAAGGCCACTGTTGCTGATCCCATTTCATCGCAGCCGTATCTATTGGGAAATGAAATACTTTACTTTTTATTTGTAAATACATGTACGAGTATATCATACATAGAAAACACCTAAACTCCAAAACAAATATTTGCAGATTGTAGACCCGAACCGGAGCCGGAATCGAGTCATTCAACAACAGACTTGAGCTGTTTAACAGAGGTCTTCTATTTTTGGACTTTTGGGTTGCGCTAATTGTAGTAAGTCTATTATACAAAAAAATGTTGATACTTTTACGAGTATAAATATAAAAAAAGAGTGTGCTTTATACAACACGACTGAAGTAAAACTTCTTGGTTATGAGAGAAAGTATAGTAATATACGAAACGTAACTCTCTCTCTTTCTATCTTCACTAACTTATATCTCCCTCTCAACTTCCGTTCGCCTCGCCCGATCACACTTTTTGTAACGCCCTCATCACACATTCACCAGCTTACTCCCCAAGTCAAGCGTGCGTAAGAAAGTTTTACTTCAAAAAGTACATTTAACACACACAAAAGTGACGGCCTCGAATTCATTTACCAATAAATGAATAAAAAGGAACAGCTTGTTATACAACCTCCGTTGGTTTTTCGAGTCAATTGAATGTCAACAGTTTAATTAAATTGAACAGGGAACGCGGCCGCTATCAAACGAGTCCATTTTGTTATTTATACATAGCTTTTTATTAACAGTGGGCTTTCGTTTGCTGTTTCTTTTTTGACATGATCGAACGACAAGTTTGATAAAGAGT